TTCGGGTACTATCTTTGAATAGTCTCGTGGCTTTTGTTAGTTACTAGGTTCTCTACCAAGTGTTCTTGGGGCGTTCTTTTCGGGTCTAGACCGAAAAGGGTAAGTCACCGCCTAGCGAGAGCTTAGCATTTGAAGATGACATGGTAATGAAGTTTCTTCATCTTCCATGCGTTTACACGTGGTGGGATCATTATGTAATCCCATCACATGAAGGTGTTCTAGCAAGCAGTGTCCCGTTAGTAATAAAATGTTGGATATCTGGAGCCTTGCGAGCTGTAATATCTCAGCAGTCATACGCAGGTTTGGTTCACTTATCGGTTTGGTTTTAGTGATTAACCACCTGTTCACTGCCTGTGAAGCAGAGGTTTTTCTTATTACAAATACAGGTTCGGGTCCTGTGATTCGTAGTTCCGATCCCTCTTTGGCCCGTTTATCAGCCTTTTCATTTCCTTGGATACGTTATGTCCTAGTACCCATACTACTTTTACCTTATTGTGCCAGATTATTAAGTATCTCAAGGCAGTTTCAGATCAGCTTTAGCTTGATTCTGTAAGAAACAAAGGCCTTTAAAACTGCTTGGCTGTCTAAAAGAATTAAGATGGCCTGTTTTTTGGACTTCCTTCTTAAATTCTCTGGTACACACAACTCAATTGCATGTATTTTAGCCTGAAATACAGTGATATAATTTCCAAGTGAGACGGTTATAGCACAATTGGTTTTAACTCCTTGTATACCAGAGCCTATGCAATTGTTAATTTTAGATTCATCCGTATTCGCTCCGTGCGAAGTCATGGAAAGGGAAGCAAAAGCGATACTAGCGCTAGCTGCGGATAATTCGTGCATTTTAGGGGATATTTTGAAATTTTGGCATATCAAATACACGTATACATTTTACTTTTTTCAAAAAAAAGTAGGTAAAAACAATACATTAAGCAACCGGAGTTGCTGTTTTGAAAATTGAACAAATACTAGCAAAAAAAACAGTGAAACTTATATAAAAAATTTCAGTAGCAAAGTGGAAATTAAATCAAAGAAATAAATGGATAGATATACAATAAGAAGAAAAATTACCTTTATTTTTGTAATAATAACCGTAATGCTGCAAATAGTAGACATCAGAAACTTAAAAGGTTTTAAATCAACAATAAATTATCATTTTACCATGTTCTTTAATATCCCTTATTCTTAAATGTTCATTCAGCAAGGACTAGATTTCAAGATTTCTGCCTTTGATTATTATATGTGGTTGGACCCGCAATTTTGTAACTTACTGATGGGAAATCAGTTTTAATCATTCATTCTATGTTTTCTTTCGAACAAAAATGAAAATATAAGTAATGATCCTTTTTTTATACATTTTAACTTCACGCTATTATTAAATGGAATTTTTTTATTTTGACAGATTAGAGCAGTGCTCCGCAACCGGTGTGCCGCGGCACACTGGTGTGCCGTAAGCCGACTTGAGGTGTGCCGCTCTTGCAGACAATACGAATCAGATTCGTATTGTAGCGAGACCCGCGAAAAATAAAGCAATCTGACAACAGCGCCGATGGTAAACGTCTATCCGTCTATCGGCGCGGCGCGGCGGCTTGATTCTCGAAGGCGACTAAACTAGAAAGATCCGTGCCGTTCGAGGCGCGACTCGATGTTTTCCTGAACATCGCCACTGCCTATATAAGCGCGCCTGTCGTCGCTCAGAGACTCAGAGAGAGTCGAATAGTCAAGTGAATCAGATAAATACGCGGGCAAACAAATAAATCGTAGAGTGAAATAAATAGTGAATTGCTATATAAATAAATTCTTGTGCCTTATAAATAAGTGAACTGGACTAAGTTTTGTTGCAGTATCTACTTTTATAAATAACTATAGTGCTTCAAATATGGATAAATTTTTGCTGAAATCACGAGCAGATGACGAAGAACCTAGCACAAGCTCCAGCATAAGTGCTGCAAAAAGAGCAAAAAAGGTGCTGAAAAGGAAGTACAATCAAGACTACCTTCGATATGGTTTCACTTGGTGTGGCGACGAAGCGGCTCCAAAGCCTGAATGCGTCATTTGCGGTGAACAGTTGTCAAATGAAGCAATGGTACCCAGCAAACTAAACCGTCATTTGATCACAAATCATCCCAGTTGCGTCAAAAAAGACATTCAATTTTTCCAACGGCGCTTGGATCAAAATAAGAAACAAAAGCAGTTTATGAAATCGGCGGTTACGGTTTCTGAAAAGGCATTAGAAGCAAGCTACCTTGTTGCAAAATTAATTGCACAACAAAAAAAACCGCACACTATCGGTGAAACGCTTATTAAACCAGCATGCATGGAAATTGTTAGACTTATGCTTGGGCCAAACGAAGTTAAGGACGTGAGTAAAGTTTCTTTGTCGGCCGATACTGTTAAAAGACGTATCCAAGATATGTCAAGTGATATTTTGGGAACACTAATTAAAAAAATCATTTCGGCTGGAATTTTTGCGCTTCAAATCGACGAATCAACCGATATTAAAAATAAAGCACAACTGATGGCTATTGTACGTTTCGTTGACGAGGACTCTATTAAAGAACATTATTTATTTTGTAAGGAGGTTCCAGAGAGAACTACCGGTGAACAAATTTTCCAAGTAACTGATAATTTTTTTAAAATACATAATATTCAGTGGACCAATTGCGTTGCTATTTGTACAGATGGTGCTGCTGCAATGATGGGCAGTAAGAAAAATTTTGTATCTTGTGTAAAACAAAAAAATCCGTCAATACAAATTACACATTGCTGCATACATCGAGAAGCATTGATGGTCAAAAATTTGCCCGAACAGCTTTCGATCACAATGAATGAATGTATTAAGATCATAAACATAATTAAATCGAGAGCCTTAAATTCGCGAATCTTTGGAATACTCTGTGAAGAAATGGGAAGCGAACATGAATCCTTACTGTTTTATACAGAAGTTCGTTGGTTATCCCGGGGAAAAGTTTTAGCTCGACTGTTTGAACTTCGCTACGAAGTGCGTGAGTTTCTTTCAAGTCAAGATATGTACGATCTATGCCAGCACCTTCATGATGAATACTGGATAGCCAAACTTGCATACATGGCGGATATATTCGAACATCTGAATGAACTTAATAAAAAAATGCAAGGACGGAATGAAAATATATTGACGTGCTCCGATAAATTACAAGGTTTCAAAAAGAAACTTGAACTTTGGCAGGAACAGTTGCAAAAAGGATGTCTAGAAATGTATCACAGGACCAACCACAGTACGATCGAAAACAAGCAGTTGATTGTGGATTTGGCCCAACAACATTTAAGTATGCTTCAACAAAAATTTGAATACTATTTCCATTCTATCAACACGGAACAATACAATTGGATTCGAAATCCTTTCGCAACCAATGCAATAAGTTCCACGGAAGCACTGCCATTGCAAACTCGAGAGGAGTTCACAGAATTAAGTAATGATATGACCCTAAAACTTAAATTCGACGAAGTTCCGTTAGATGTTTTCTGGATTTCCATCAAGACAGAATATCCACGCATCACCGACAAGGCCATCTTCACACTACTTCCGTTTTCCACAACATATTTATGTGAGCAAAGTTTTTCAACGCTTGTATTAATTAAAAATGATAAACGGTCATGCTTAAAAGATCTTGACCAAGAAATGAGAGTTGCGCTGTCTAAAATTGAGCCGAATATAAAACTTTTGTGTTCAACGAAGCAAGCGCAGGTATCACATTAATCAGTCATCATCATGTCAAAATATTTATTACTATTGACGTGTCAACAGAAGTAAATTTAGTATACCTACCTGTCCTACCTAGTATTTAGTATAGTTCTCATGTATGTACCTATTTGTATTTTTCATTCTATCTGAATAATAAAAAAAAATAAAAAAAAAATATGTATTATGTCCTGAGTGAAAATTTTGATGCCCCAAATCTGAAAGGGGCTTCTTCACATTTTAAAACAATAAAAAAAACTAAGGTAGTTTGCACATCCATAAATAATTAGTATACATGGAGTGAACTGACCCCCGACCTAGCTACGCCACTGCTATAAATATATTTTAGATTTTGGTGTGCCACGAAATTCTAGGGAGCAGTTTGGTGTGCCTCAGATGAGGAAAGGTTGCGGAGCACTGGATTAGAGTAATTCTTCAATGAAAACTTATTAGACTTAGGCAACTTCTCATACAATTTCCAGTAAATACTGTTGCCTGCCTATATTTTATTATTCATTTTTATCGAATATACATAATTTTCTTTAATTTAAGCGATAAAAATATATAATAATAATAAATTAATGTTTTACTTGTTTTACAAATCCATATACTTTTATTAAAACTGCCATATATACTTTTTAATTACGAATTCTATTAAAAGTTGCATTTGTCAGTGTATGCAGAAATAGTCCATTAGTATCAAAACGAATTAGCGCTGCTGTCGCGCACGGAGCGAATACCATACAAGACCCCTGAAAGAGTCTGTTGAAGGTTAGGCGGTGTGTCATTCGATCTCATCCCATTTTAATATGGAATAATTCACCTCATATGTCATTCTAATATGTTTAATATTTCCAGTAGGATCCCAGTAGGTCCAGTTGTTCGAGATATCCAGCCTATATGCGCACATTCTGGCGTCCCCCTTTATGGCTAGATCAAGGAATGGGAGGTTTAGAATGATTTCCATAGAGACTATCAGTGTATTTCTCAGTACTCCGGTTTTTATCCCGATATTTTTCCAAATACCCGTCTCCCTACAATGAGAGACATTTTATATTTGTTGGTCACTTCTATCTTGGATTAGATCCATATATTTTACTTCGTTTGTTCTTTTTACCCTTCTTCCGAACAGAGATGGAGTTTCTAAGACCTCCAACCTTGTTTTCTGAGTAAAGGTTTTGAGTTGTGCCTTGTCAGGGTTTACCAAAAGGTTTTCCTTAATGCACCTCAGTTGTGTCAGTTTTAGAGCTATTTGCATGAGTTTGAAGACCATAGGGCATACAAAAATAGATTTATTTTGGGACAAACATAGATAAAAAAAATTGTGTATATCCCGGATGGGCAATCCCATCTTCTGTGTCTTATTCCGAGATGGGACCCGCCGAAACAAAACTACATATTTATGTCCAAAACGAAAAAAATCTCTTCAGGCAAATCCAATTAATAAACAAAATTCCGTGTTTTTCAAAGACGACACGAAGGGTTTTTAATTAATAATAATTCTCTTACATACTTACATATCTTATCAAATAAAAATATATTATCTGTCTGACCTCCATGTGTACAAAAGTTTGTTCAATTAAAATTTTTGTTAGTAATTATAAAACATGTTTTAGTTTAACGATACTGATGTCAATGCCCTGGAGGTATAAAAAAAATTAAATGTATACATATTTTTTGGGAAATAAGAAATGACTCAAAATGAGACAATCTTTGCAAACGGATTTACATTTAATTCAATAATTTAATTCAATAATTTTTTCCCACTTTTTGATGGTCTTGTATTTTCCACATTAATGTACACTTATTTGTGCTGATAAATTGTAATAAATACTTTGATATGGCACTTTTTAATAATCACTTTGGAGACGTCTCCTTATACAATATTACACGCGCTTATTAATTTTCTCTTAGTTCTGATGATGACATAATGCCGAAACCGGTTGTCTTTTGAACAATAAAATATATTTATGTGGAACTGATTTTGAGCCATTTCTTACCTTTAAGTGGACCACATTTGAGCAGTTGGATACTCTTCTTCAATTATATATATTTTTGTTTTAATATTATCAACTGGTTATATCACACGCTCTGTCAAAGTTTATCGGACCGATACATTTTAATGCAACCTGCAATGTCTTGATCTGATCTAAGCATGCCTCCTATTTGAAACTCAAAAATGATTCGTAACAGAACGGCCCAGAAAAATTGTTGTGAGGAAAGTTTTCCTCTTGATATCCAATTATCCATAAGTGAAAGTCATTTTCACATTACACAAAATAGTTACTGCGAAGTTTGGTGTACCTCGGCGAACATAACACTCTTCCTTGGTGTATTTGGAGCTTTTTTGTTTTCATTATTGAATCCATTTTTAATCTTAACTTCTTTAATTTCTTCTTTCTTATTATGTGCAATAAATTCCACAGTTTTGGCAACTCCATTGACGGGTTTTTGATTGACCACCATTTCATTGCATCGTTTTTCTAAGGCTTCGATTTTTTCAAAATATTCCACAGCTTCGTCCGCGAACGCGTGACATTCGTCCCTTAATATTCTCGTTAGGTAAAACGCTTGCTTGATGTATATGAGAGTATTTTTTTTGTTTGTAGTTATCGTCAAACTTTTTTCCGATATTTCCAAGAATGTTTCGATGAAAAATCTAAGGATCATTCTTTTCTTGCCCAGGTCGAATTTCTTCTCACATTTCCACTGAAATACAAAAAAGTAATTAATTTACAATTCGAGAGACACTATACAGTTTTGTTACCGAGGTCCCTACGGGCAAATTCGTAGCATTGGATTTTGAAATGTCATGTTTTGATTAGGTTTTACACATTTTTGTACAATGTATGTAAAAATATTTGGGCCCCTTACCCCTTGCCTGCTCATTCAAAAATATTTGGACCTCTTACCCCTTAACTAATAATGATTATTTGACTTTTACCCTGTCAACTGTAAATGTACAATGTTTAACAAATAAATTACTTAATTTAGAAACTTTTAGTCATAAAGAAAAACCGGACATAATTTGTGTTCAGGAACATTGGTGTAGTCAAGTCAACATTGAATTAATGCACATTATGGAGTATACCATGGTAACCAGTTTCACGAGATCTGTAAAAATACACGGTGGGACTATGATATATGCTAAAATTCAAGACGAAGCGTTTGAGATCAGTAAAATAGACTGTAGCAGATTCGTAGAAGAATGTAACTTCGAGTGTTGTGCTGTTAAAGTGAGTGTCAATAGCAGTAAAATATTAATTGTGAATATTTATAGGACTCCGGATAGTAATCTGGAAATTTTCCTCGACAAGTGTTTTGAGTTTATGACGTATTATAACTCACGTTATGATACAATTTACCTATGCGGTGACTTTAATATAGATTATTTAACTTTATCAGATGAGAAAAAGATGTTGGATGATTTTTTCACTTCATTTGGTATTAAACTAAGCCTACCCAATGAGCCAACACGTATTTTTAAAACAAAAAGCGGTACATCTAGTACCAAAATTGATTATATAGCATCCAATGCTTTGCCTCATATTATTAGAGAGTGTTATGTTACACAACCCAATATTGGTGACCATTTAGCCATAATTTTTAAAATATCTCTAAATATCTTTCCGATTAACAATAATATTGATGATAGTTTAGATATATATCGAAATATCTCAAATTTTAACTTACAGGCACTGAAACAGGATCTTTTGAGAGTTGGTTTCAGTGATATGTACACCAAATTAGATGTAAATGAGTCATTTAGTGAATTTATTGAAACGCTTGATTTTGTCATCAATTGTAATTGTCCTTGGACTATAAGAAAACACAAAAAGAATACCAAAAGCTGGTATGATAAAAATGTACGGGTAAAACATTCCGAACTCCAAAAGCTCTATAGGTTTGCAAAAAAATCAAATAATATTGAAAATTGGAACTATTACAAACAACAAAAAAAGGAATATGATCATTATTTAACTCAAAAGAAAAAGGAATACAATGCTTCACTCATTGAAAAAAGTACTAACAAACAAAAAACAATATGGAATGTCGTGAATAATAGGTTAGGTCGAACTCGTAATCCGATTAACCAGATTCAATTATGTGTAGGTTCACAAAAATTAACGGAGCCAAAAACAGTGACCCAATTTTTCGGGGATTATTTTAATAATAAAAATATTGAGACTCAGAATAGAGTTAGTAATAGTTTAAATAGCGATTGTACCCTTCCTAAAAAATGGGTTAAAAATTCTTTTGGCTTTTTCGAGGTAACTGCTGATGAGGTAAGTAAAATAATCTTAAACTTAAAAAATAAAAATAGCGTTGGTGATGACGGAATCAAGGTAAAAATTCTAAAAAGTGTTGTAGAAGTAATTGCGGAACCGCTTGCTTTCTTAGTTAATTTGTCATTTAATAGTGGCTCCTTTCCGGACAAACTGAAAATTGGAAAACTTGTACCAATCTTCAAACGATCCTGTCCAAAGTGTCCAGACAACTACCGACCTGTTACAGTTCTAAATGTGCTATCTAAGATTCTAGAACGCATCTATTATGACCGGCTTATAATATTTCTTGATTTAAACAATGTATTGTCTCCGATCAACGGAGGGAGCTGTTCTTGAATTTTTTACTAAAGTGTACGATAAATTAGACAACGGAATATTTGTTGCCGGCCTCTTCTTTGATCTCTCTCGGGCGTTTGATAGCCTACAAATTCAATTTATCTTAAAAAAGTTATACTCTTATGGTGTTAGAGGTAACATGTTGAACTTGTTAGAATCATATTTGTCAGATAGAAAATTTTATGTACAATTAAATAAGGAAAAATCTGAAATATATACCACTGATATTGGGGTTCCTCAGGGATCGGTGCTGGGACCACTAATATTTATTATTTTTGTAAATGATTTACCTCAGTATTTAAATGGCGGATCAGTTTTAATGTTTGCCGATGACTCGTCAGTGGTGGTCTCGGCTCGGACCGCTGAAGAACTTCAACATACACTTAATTGTATACTAAATCTATTTGAAACATGGTGTCAAAATAATTCCTTAATTCTTAATATTGATAAATCCGTTTATGTAAATTTTAGATGCGTCAAAAATAGCTTACCTATAGCAGTCTCATCAATTACACATGAAGTAAAAACGAAATTTTTGGGAGTTTATGTTGACCAATTTTTATCATGGGATTCACATGTTGATCAAGTATGTAAAAAGCTTAACTCTGCTTTTTATGCCATATTGCAATTAAAGAAGACTATGGACCAAAAATCATTATTAAATATTTACTTTTCCTTAGTTTACCCTCACCTATCAAATAATGTTAGTTTATGGGGAGACTGTGTAACGTCTAACAAACGTCTAACAAACGTTAAACAAAAGCGCATTATACGCATATTATTTGGAATTCAGGCAGGGGAAAGCTGTAAGCAAATGTTCATAAAACATAAAATTCTTCCGTTACCATGCATTTATATTTATAAAACAATTCTGTATGTAAAGTCTAACTTACACAAATTAAAAAAAAATTCCGATTTTCACAGATATCCCACCAGAAATGCAAACACGTTTATTTCGGTCCAACATAGACTAGCTTTGTTTGAAAAGTCACCGCAATATATAGGCATAAAACTCTTTAATAAATTACCTAAAAATATTCAAGCATTATCTTACACTAAATTCAAATCTAATGTAAAAACTATTATTACTCGTTGTTCCTTTTATTCTGTTAACGATTTTTTGTCTGAAGATAGTCTTCTTTAAAAAAATATTTTGATTTGTATTTAACTATTAGTTTTAACGTATGTGTTCAGTGTAATGTAATTTTAATTTTATTTAAAATTTTATTTATTAATGTTGACGTGTACATCCATCTATGATGGCAGCATTGGCTAGTACTAATAAAGATTTATTATTATTATTATTATTATTATTATTATTATTATTATTATTATTAAGTATCTTCATGTAAAAAATATGTGGACCTTTTGTTCCTTAAACCTGCCCATGTAAAAAATAGTTGGTCCTTTTACTCCAAACGCCTGCCCAAGTAAAAGTACAGGGTGTCCCATTAGTAAGTAATTGTTCAATATTTCAATTTGTGTTATAGACACGCAAACAAGTTTAAAATAATGGTTATATGGATTTAAAAGATACATATTTTTAAACATATTTTTGGATATATAGGGTGTTGGGTTTTTGCCTGGCAAATAAAAATATATGTTTTATTAAATAGAACACCCTGTATTTTATTTGGTAATATTTGGTAATACTGTATTCAAAAATATTACAGTGTTGCTAAACAATTAATTTATTTTTAAAATTAGAGAATGATGCAGATCCCAAATTAAATTATCATAATTTAGGTAGGTTTACATTAATTTCAAAATTGTTTAATATACAGACTTATAAAATACTAAGCTAACGAATGGTGGCGATAGAACTGGTTTATTTTATACAAAATGTTTTGAAATATGGCTAATTATAAGTTTAATTTACTCAATTTTTTCAAATGTTACTCCCTGTATATTATCTTAGCATAAAATTCCTTATATATCGATGGTCAGTTTGCATATGTGGCTATCTACAAAATCTTAATTGTCCAGAAAACACAAAAGTAAATTTAATACACTCCATCAAATCAGGTTTTATAAATAGCCCATTTATTTAAAAAGCTTGTCTTAGTACAGTTCTTAATTGTTTTAGAGAAATTTTGACTCATTACGCTAATCCAGGACTTATTATGAAACAAATTAAACAAAAAAAGTACAGATAGCCATTTTTGACACCAATATTTTTACTTAAAATCGTAGTGATACAAAGAAACTTAACCCTAGAACCACAACGTGGGGTCGCCGGTGACCATTGCGCATTGCGCCTACATTTAAGCCTGTACGCATGTTTGTATTTTGGACAGACGGGTGGGGGTTCAGCTATCCTCAAGTGGCGATACCGATAACCTGTCTCGGTACTCTCGGTTAGTGTGTGTTTGGATCTGTTTACTTTGACACGTACCTAGAATTTCATGACTATTGCGTTTTGACCCCACGTTGTGGTTTGTGTATGAAGTTTTTTTTCCGGTAGGTGTACAACTTTTATTACTTTTTTTATATATATATATATATATATATATTCATAATGTATGTTTGAAATACCATATACTTTGCAGGGAATATAAAATGGATGACCCTAAACGACCTTTAAATGATGCGGAACTCAGGAAAATTCTTTATGAAGACTCGTATGAAGAAGGAAGCGAAGATGAAGAAAACATGGATCGTGAAAACGAAAATAAAGACAAAGATGGCGTTTTGGAATATGATAAAGAAGAAGATGAGATTCAGATATTAGAAAATATTGAATATCAAAACATATTAGAAGAAAACACATTAGAAGAAAACACACCATCACCTTCTCCAAATAAGAAATATCCAACTATATATGGACGTAATGGATATAAGTGGTATGCATATCCTTGTCAGTCAAAGTTTTCAAAAACATCAAGAAAAAATATTGTAATCCACTTACCCGGACCAAAAGGTAAAGCTAGACAACATCTGAATCTAAAATAAATTTAGCAGTTATTTTTTTTCTGACAACATTTTATCCATAATAGAACATACTAATCAAGAAATAGAGCTGCGAAGAATCTCTTATAAAACAGAATAAAGAAATTTGCAAGATACAAATAAAGCAGAATTACTGGCTTTGTTTGGATTGCTGTATTTTGCTGGTATCTTAAAAGCCAGTAAACTATCATTAGAAGAACTGTGGTCAACAAAATTTGGGATCCCAATATTTCGATTAACGATGAGTCTAAATCGATTTGAATTTCTTTTGAACTGTCTGCGATTTGATTATAAAAATACAAGAATAAATAGAAAGGCTTTGGACAAACTTTCAACGCTAAGACAAGTTAGGGATATATATGTAAAAAATTGTCAAGACAGCTACACGCCTTCAGAATATGTTACATGAGCAACTTTTAAGTTTTAGAGGCCGATGCCCATTCAAGATGTATATAACGAGCAAACCAGATAAATATGGCCTAAAGGTTGTTACGATGTGCGATGCCAAAACTTTTTATATGTGTTCTGCGTTACCGTACATTGGAAAAGAAACTGGGGATCCGAGTCAAGGATCTATTCCTACACAATATGTTATAAGGCTATCAAAAGATATTGAAAATACCAACAGAAACATAACTATGGATAACTGGTTTTCCTCTACTGAACTGGCAGATAAATTACTTACAAAGAAACTAACAATGTTCGGTACCTTACGCAAAAATAAGAGAGAAATTCCTGCAGCATATTTAGAAACCTCAGCAAATTCCTTCATCTGTATAAAAAAAACAAACTTGTTCTTTTGCTAAGCACAATGCATTTTCAACCGGACATAGATGAACAATGAAACAAAAGTTGTAGTTGACACGTTTGACCAACTCTGCCATTCAAAGACTGTAGCAAGAAAAACAAGGCGCTGGCCTCTTAGGTTGTTTTACGCCATGTTGGATGGCGGTGGTGTAAATACTTTTGTTCTTCAAAGCTGTAAAAAAAATTAAATCAAAGAGAGTAGAAGAACAGTTTTAGAAAATTTAGCGTTGATCCTAGTAGAAGAACCAAATCAAAATAAGGGTGCAAAACGAATGTTTACCCCGAAACCTACGTTGTAGTCTCCGTGAATTTCTTGGAATGCCTGATAAGGCTCAGTAACCCACAGATAATCGTAGTGGAAAAGGAAGATGTACTATCTTTCCACGCAAACGAGACCGAAAGGGCCGCCATATATGTGTAAGTTGCAAAAGAAATATATGTGCTGAACATAGTTTATGTATTTGTGAGGACTGCAAGCCATAAATTTTTGAAGTTTTTTGATTTTCTGTAAAAAATTGTAGTTTCCAAGAATTTGTTAATGTATTTTGTGAAATAAATTAATAAAAACCAGACGTATTTCGTTATTTAATGCCTAAATTTAAATGGGGTCATGCCTGACCCCATGTTGTGGTCTGTAAGTTAGGTGTTTCACGTTGTGGTTCTAGGGTTAAAACTAAAAACAGGAGCCGGCAAACTTGTAATTTGGGCGGGTACTAAACCGTATATCTACACTAATGTGGTATATGAGGTTATGTGAGAATTTTCTTTTCAATTTGAGCTTTGTTCAAGCCGTTGGAGTCTATGCCGGTCGGCGTAGCCAGGTATGGGTTGATATTTTCTGGTGGCGGATTCGTCTTCTTTGTCTGTTAGAACAAGTGGGAGCAGCAATAAGTATAGACATTCGTTTTAATATCCACCCAAACTTTAAATCGTCCCCAGAGCCTAATTCATTAAAAGTCTCATTTATTGTGAAAAAAAGTTCTTTTCTTCAGGGTCATTAATGTCTGTCACCACAGTTTCATCCGGAATGCCTTCTTCAGCTAAGAAATTAATAAAAAAGAGTCGACAGTCTTCCGGTACGCTACCAGAATATGGTATAACATATAGGGTATTCCATTTCAAAAAATCTTACCTTCGCATTTTGACACGCCCTATATACAACATAACAAATAAATTAAGTCTATTAAAATGTTTTGTTTTAGCGTGAAAACAATCAACTACCTGCAGGGTGTTTTGCTTTAAAAATGTATAAGTTTGGTCAGCACCTCGTTTATGTACCACCTTGTATATTTAAGAATATTTATGGTCATAATAAAACAGCTATCGATCAATTACGCACTTATGGGACACCCTGTATATATGTTATTGGCTAACATGTTGGTGTCGTTGGATACATAAAATTATAAGAAATTTAATGCTAAAATAATATACAGAGTTTTGCATTTGAAAAAATTGAGTAAATTGAATCTAAAATTAGTCATATTTTTTTAATTTTGGTGTCATCAGAATCAACTACTAAGGATATTAGCCTCGTGTTCTGTGTAGGCTTTGTTACTGTTTCCCAGCACCACTTTAGGAACAGCACTGTTAATTAAAACCCAACAGTGAATAGTCGAGTGGGGAATCCTACCAAGGCATCAGAATTAATTTTAAATAATTAAGTTAAATAAAAAAATCCCGGCCAACGGTGGGATTCGAACCCGGGAACCTTGGATCCGCAGGCAGATGAGACTGTACCATTGAGTCACCCACCCACTATTAGTCATATTTAAAACATGTTTTAAGACACTCTGTATAAAATAAACCTGTTACATCGCCACTATTCGTTAACTTAGTATCTTATAATTCTGTAATTTAAACAATTTTAATTGTTATAAACCTACATAAATTATGATAATTTTATTTGGGGTCTTCATAATTATCTAATTTCATAAAAAAATTAATTGCTTGGCAATCCTGTAATATTTTTAAATAAAATTCCAGGGTTGAATACAGTATTATCAAACCATTCTAAATTTGAAATATAATACAGGGTGTTTTATTTAACAAATATACATTTTTATTTGCCAGTTAAAAACGCAACACCCTGTATATACAAAAATATTTTTAAAATACGTATTTTTTAAATCCATATAACTTTTATTTAAAACTTAATTGCGTGTCAATAACACAAATTGAAATATTGAACAATTACGCACTCATACCATGTATTTGGACCCTAGATCCTTAAGCTTACCAATATTAAAATATCTGGACTCTTTAACATGTGGTTTTCAATATCTTACTTTTTAATTTTACTCGGTGGAGTAAGATTTCATGTTAAAATAAATATAAAGCTTACCCTTATTTTAATAAAATTTTTACAATGTTACACACTGAAGAGTATTCATTCCACTTTTATCTCAATGTATAAAATATTTTATTAAATTATTTATTATCTTTTAAGTAAATGATAAATGTATATTTAAATTGTTTTTTCTGTTCATTAATTTAACTAATGTATTTTTCATGCAGTTGTTGACCCATAAAACTCAACATATTTTAGTTGAAGTGACTAAGTTTAATTTTATTCTTTTTCAAGAAAATATAATGATAGTGCAAAATTTTCTGTCTTTTTTTTTGAGAAAAACGATTTATTAAGTATTAAATCATATCGTTGTGATAAGAGTCAATCAGAAGGAATAGCGTTTCCAAGGAAAAAGATATTAGCCTGGCAAGACACATATCGTAGGTTCGATACCTACCGATTTTAAATATTATTTGATTTAATAATTTTATATCCCTTATATTCGCTTTATACTTACATCAATATCAATAGAATCGACTGATCCTTTCCTTTGCCCTGTGTGACTGAGATTGTTTGCCTCCCTTTCTTTTTTCTTCTCTTCCAATCTCTTCCTCATAATAATCTCCCTCTTCTTCCCGTCCTTAAATCGATCAAAATAATGTTCAGAATCAACAGTTTTTGCTCGTTTCGATTTAATCTGGTAATTTAGTATATCTAGATTATTACTTTTTAAAATGGTATAAAGCCTTTTAAAGTCAAAGGGATAAAAAAATGTTTTTCCATTGGTGTATCTAAGGTTCCTTAGAGCATTCAGGAAGGACATCAGAGGTGTTTGCAAGATGTCATCGAATGCCTTTTGGGCCTGCCTGAGTTTTGGTGTAGAAACCTCACTTAATGTGTTTTTATCGTTGATAAAGAAGTCCGATATATGTGGACGAGCCTTAGAAAGAGAATTCGTTAGGTTTTTGATAACTTGGAGTAGTTTTATCCCAAGCCTATGCTCGGGCCAATCACTGAAGTTCGATTCGCATTCCCACAACATAAAATTTCTAATGTGTTCACTTTGCAATCCAAAGCAAGTGGTTCTAGGTTCTACGTAGGTTTTATGTAGAGTTAGTAATATTATAAGACTCTTCATTTGAGCATGCGACATGAAAGTTTCTAGGTACCTCTGAGCCTGTGGGAAACAAATTTCCCATTCGATATCTGCGTCTTTTCTATCGCCTTTCCTTTTTAGATGACCTTTTGGCAGTAAAACACAATCTAATGTTGTGATTTCTTTTATCATAGAACTCGTTGGATAGACGAATCTCTTTCTAACTTCAGGTGTTCTATTACTTTTCATTATAAATTTTAAAGTTTGTTCCACGGGCCAACATGTTTTTATGGAAGGTATAATCTCGCAAGGAACACTTTTATCGCCGTCGTTGATAATACAAGAGATCTTTTCTTGCTTTGATTCAGATTGGTTAATATTTTCGAGGTCCAAGCCTAGCTCGGACGCCACTCCGTCCAGGAACAAATTGTTTTCAAGCTGCTTCATAAAGCTTTTCGAATTAATATATGCTACTGTTTGATATAAATCATCTTCCGATAAGTTTTCGCCTATCAATTCATCAGCATCCCAGGATATTTTCTTAATCTTTCTATAAGATATGCATGTTTTTGGTAGACCATTTTGGTAAGTGGAGGATTGTTCGTGTTTCTCTAAGCCTTGGAGGATTTCTATGGGTTTCGGTGTTTTGAGATTTTGTAGTTCTGTATAATAGTTGGTATCTGAAGAGTCCTCGGAACTCCTAGAATTGGGTTCGACTGAGTTAAGTCGCATAACGGGGGACTCGCCATTATGTTGGAAGGTGTTGTTGACTGCTCTGAGTCTAACGTAACCTGGAACAAAATATAATAATAAATAACGAGTTTTTTTAGTTTGCGCGATCTATCAAAAAGTATTTAACGCAATATTCCTAAATGCGAATAAAATTATTTCAACTAATTGTTTTTTTATATTATTTAATTTGGCAGTAATTTAATTTTTCTAACTACAAACAAAAATAGCACAATTTTAAAGGTACTATTTACTTTCTATTTTATTAATTTAGATGTTTTATTTAAAACTATTTATTAAGTAGTATCTTATCAGTCTCACAGTATATATATGCATATTGAGTGGATATTTTGTTCTGTTCAATAATGCTTGGAGAACAATTACATACAGGTAGAGGTTGATTTTGCCGCATTTAAAATTGGCTACCCATCAATAAAAGACCTAGAAATTTATTCCATTTGGCTGTTTCACACTGTATGTCTTTCTATCATCTTTCTATCATTCTAGTTATTCACTAAAATATATTAACAAGAATATTATATTTCTTCGAAAAAACACAATAGTACATAACAATTTGAACAAAAGACTTCTTAGAAGAACATAGAAATATTTTTCTACATGCATGCGCTAAGTAGTACTTTTCCGCATGCATTTCCATGTCCAAAGTTACACTTTTCCGCACGCCGTGCGAATAAGATTTTTTTTTTCTACACCCAACTGGATATTAGTTATTCCATGCACAGGCTCAAACTTCGTCTTCGTGCGATAAGACCATTATATACACTCTTGTTGCACAAACTAATTATTTCCGCATTGTGTGCAGAAAAGTAAAACTACTTTGCCTCGCTGTATTTTCGTGCGAAAAGTAACACTTTGCACACTATCTTACTCGACTGATGTCACAAAAAAATGACATTTTACACATTTATTAATATCCATAAAATATAACTATTGTCTGTTATAGTTGATAATTTTTTTTAAATTAATTATATTTCCTCTTAGAAATGTCTCTGCCAATTTGGTTCCATTTCTACCTTATTTTTTCTATTGAAGATTAGTTTCGTTTTGTTTCTTTTATGTCAATAAAGCAGTGGAATCCACATTGATCATTAACTAATAAAATGGTAGAGAATAACTAAATGTCGGCATGATTATGCGGTATATCAGTAGATGCTGCCAGACATAAAATACGGACCTGCTAAAGGAGACGATGAAGAGACAACTCCATACAAAAAAATTGTTAACAAGACATTTTGCCTTTAGAGAAAATTCAAGGGAAGGTGACCAAGTCCTTCGATAGTATTTTAATGATTTGCTTATGATTATAAAATCAAATCAATTATTTGATCGTTATGGAATTTTAAATTATAAGCATTTTAACTAGAATTTTTCGAGTTGTTCATTTTTTCCTGATAAATAATATCGAATTTAAGTTACATGGGCATTACAAACTCTGTAAAATTTTGGACTTGGTCACCTTCTCTTGTATATCAATGATATAGACATTGTAAGGTAGTTTGGATCGATACAAATGATTTCAAAACTAAATACTCGAAACTCAAAGAATCTACTAGTCTACATAAGAGATATGGGACTACAGAGTGTTTATTTTTAGTATACCTAGACTAACAAAGTCCATCTTTAAACAGACCATTAACTAAAAATTAGTAGAAAAGATAAAGTAGTTTTTATTAATTAAAAACATGTAGATACCTATCTTATCTGAAGATCCTAGGTAAACATACACTCGATGATCATAATGAAATTATGCCAGTGAACTAATATTGATTGACAACCTAATATTCATTCTGCAGTAGATAAATAAATGAGATCGAAACTGGAAGCGTACTCAGGTGCAAAAAATTCGACCCACGCCTATTTTTTTAGCGAATATGCAAAAAATTCGACATGTTAGGTTTAGATCGTGTATAAATGTTACAGAGAATATTTAATGTAAATAAGAAACACAGTTTATTAAAAAAAAATCATGTATTTATGAAATAATGTGGCATTATTCGAAAATTAAATAAATGAAGAAGATTTCGATAATAAAAAAAGGTTATAACAGCCTGAACCTACAAAAAAATGCGGTAGCAAAGTCTCGACATTGAGGTAATTAAATGTAGAACAATAAGTTGGTCCAATTTTTCCCATATTGTCTGAAGCGCCGCACTAAAGGTGTTATCACGGGGTAGATGTTCTATTGGATTGAGATTGTGACCGCAAGCTGGCCTTCTAAATATTCATGAACGATCCTAGCACGGTGTGGACCAGTGTTGCCAGAATATATTTTTGTAATGTACCAGATTTTTCTAAAAAATGTACCAGATTACATAAAAATGTACTAGATTCTATAAAATTACCAGATTTTCTAATTATGAAGGGTGGTCATTAAAGAGCAAAAAAAGGCTTATAGAGAACACGAACACAAAAATTTTAAACAATATTTTATCTCTCGACAAATTTCTGACATTATTTTATCTCTCGAGCAATTTTTGAAAAAGATTTTAATAACTTATGATGATATTTTATCTCTCAAACAGTTTATAAACCTTTTTTATCTCTCGAGCAATATTTCTTGTACAATTTTTAACACTATTTAATCACTCGAGCAATTTTAAACAGCCTGTCAAACTATTTTTGAACAATATTTGATCTCTCGTGCAATTTTTGAGCAAAATTTTAACAATTTATAACACTATTTTATCTCTCGAATAATTTTTAAACCTTTATTAGCTATTTTTAATGATATTTTATCTATAGATAAATTTCTAACATTATTCTATCTCTCGAGGAATGTTGGAACTACTTTTTTTTATCTTTTTAGCAAATTGCACAATATTTCTGTACCATCCGTGAATAAGTGGATAAGTCAAATTTTAGTAAAAATATAATATCTATAAATATCTAAAGTGCTCTTCCTATTCTGTTTGGTGAATAAATGGGTGATTCAAATTCTTAATAGCTTCCTCCATGAGTTTACTTCAGAGGACTCCGTGAATAGTTGGATTTCTCCAATTTTTTGTGCCAAAACCGGTAACTATAGCTATCCCCGGATTTGGAAGAGGTTTATCTAAATTATCAGTCGTTTTCTAGTTTTCTTTTCCAATCAAAATGTATGTTATTTGAAATAAGTTCACTTTGCGTTTTTCATGAATAAATAAAAATATTAAAAAAATTTTGTCCTGTTTATTTATACTATAATAAGTCAGTAACTCAACAAAAACACACACATTTGAGGTCAATAAATTAATAGGCAAGTCAGATTTTTTCCATTAAGTAATATAATTTCACAGGTCATAATTATTTACATTGTTGGTTGTATAATTAACAACCTATTTCAAAAAACGAAATTTAACCTAAAATTTGTTTTTCAAAAACATCAAAATGTTGTTTAAAATGGCCATACTGAAAAACTTCAATTTTTGACTTACCGACTTATTCACAGATGGTACAGATTTTAACTCTCGATAAATTTTTAACAATGTTTTATGTCTCTAGTGATTTTTAAACAACTTTTTTATCTCTCGAGCAATGTTTGTACAATATTCGAGTCAATTTTAAACAATATTTTATTTCTCAATAAAATTTTCAACAATATTTTATCTCTCAAGCAATTTTTAAACAAGGTTTTAACATTTTGTAATACTACTTTACCTCTAGCAATTTTTGAACACGATTTTATTTATAATTCTATTTGATCTCTCGAACAATTTTTAAATTTTTTTCTTCTCTCATTAAATGTTTAACAGTATTTTTATCCCTAAAGCAATTTATGGACAATATTTCACCCCTCAAGCAATTTTTAATACTATTTTATCCTTCGAACAATTTTTAACACCCTTTTTTACCTCTCCAGCTATTTTTGAACAATATTTGATCTCTCGAGAAATATCTACTATTTGATCTCTGAAGCAATTTTTAACAACTATTTTAATTTCTCTGGCAATATTTGAACAATATATTTTACACTTCAAATGGAACATACGCTGAAAAAAGTACTAGATTTCCCTTTGAGTGTATTAAAGTACCAGATTCTCAAATAATGTACTAGATCTAGTACAATTGTACTAGACTGGCAACACTGGTGTGGACACACGTTATCGTCCGTAAAAATAAAATTGGGCCCTATGAATGACGCAAAAGATACCACATACTCATCTAAAATGGTTCATATGAATCTTGGTCCATCCACAATAACCAAGTTAGTATGGGTCTCAGAACAAATATCAGTCCAAACCATAGCTTAGCTTAATCTTTCCGAAATATTACATTGGGCAAATCAATATCCGTGTCTTCTCCGGATTCTTTTGCGACCGTCTAGTGACCTCAAACAAAACCTGGACTCATCCGAGAACAATACGTTACTTATCTGCGTCATTCCGCTTTTCGTGTTTTCTTGCAAAAGCAAGTCGAGCTCTGGGATGTCCCACGGATAGTAGTGAACATAGGGTGGTCTTCTACATTTCTCATTTCGTGACCAATTACCGTTTTCATTAAACCGCTGAATGGCTCTTTGAACCGCACAACAACTAATATCTTTTTTAGGGGAGGGGAATGCAACGTATGCACCCCTGCACAGGGAGTGTGGGACGTGCCCTACAAAATACCCACTAAAACGACTAAAACTCTCACCGGTTTCAGGACCTTTTAGGAATACTCCGGGACTAAAATCAGAGATTTTTTTTTAACGTCGAAGTATTCGGGCCGCTCTTCCTTTTTTTTTTCATCACCTTGCCGATGCTGTTAGAAATAGTGTGTCCGTCCCATTTACTCTGGCTTTCAGTCATTTGGTTTATGATATTGTGGGACGTTAATATTCCTACCTGTTCCCATGTCCCGTTTCTAGCACTTTTCCACCAGATGCACTCGAATATGGTGTGTTCTGCCTTACAGTATCAAAATAATGTATTCTAATTATAAGATCAAACGAACTTACCTGAAGTGAAGTTCGATCTTAATTATATGATGCCTCATCGAAGTAAATAAGATATATTGTCGACCCCTGTATATGCTTCGATTCGACCACATAGTTTAAAACTAACTATTTGATATATACCCT